CACTTGTGCATCACCAGGCATGATCTCCCCTTCAACACATGTACGTCACCAGGCATGCTCTCCCCTTCAACACATGTACATCACCAGGCATGATCTCCCCTTCAACACATGTACGTCACCAGGCATGCTCTCCCCTTCAACACATGTACGTCACCAGGCATGCTCTCCCAACACATTCAACATGCAACACATGTACGTTACCAGGATTGCTCTCCCCTTCAACACATGTGCATCACCAGGCATGCTCTCCCCTTCAACACATGTACATCACCAGGCATGCTCTCCCTTCAGCACATGTACGTCACCAGGCATGCTCTCCCCTTCAACACATGTACGTCACCAGGCATGCTCTGCCCTTCAACACATGTGCATTACCAGGCATGCTCTCCCCTTCAACACATGTACATCACCAGGCATGCTCTCCTCTTCAACAAATGTACATCACCAGGCATGCTCTCCCCTTCAGCACATGTATATCAACACATGTACATCACCAGGCATGCTCTCCCCTTCAACAAATGTACATCACCAGGCATGCTCTCCCCTTCATCACATGTATATCACCAGGCATGCTCTCCCCTTCAACACATGTACATCTCCACAGTGACGTCACCATTCAGCAGTTGACAGTAACCAGTCTTCCATTTCTCTAACACATCACTCCAGTTGTCAGACAAACTTCCATCAATTAAGACCACTTTCATAGGAATCTGTTTTCGTCTCTCCCCCCACCCCCCCACCGATCTTCTTCCAAAAGTCTCTGTCATTACATTCACACATTTCATCCAAACGCTTACTTTCTTCTCGCACATACGCACGTTAAGCCATTTGCACAGCTTTATCAAATATCCTGCGCTTTCGCACAAAACAATGTTTTAGTATCACTCTCTCATTACCCCGACGCTTACATTTACACCACGCTCTCTCAACATCACATGTTTCATTCCACAGCACACGCAATTTATCATTCCACCAAGGCTTACACACACGACGCTTTTTATGCCCCCGCCATACATGGCTAGGACATATCGGGTTACCCTCGGTGTCCGTCCGTCCGTACGAAACAGGGAATGTATTCTATCCACTTCTCCACCATAACCGCTCTGTGGAATGTAATGAACTTATACATGGGCTTTCTTGGCACCCTAATGGTGTGTATCTCTTTTTTTATTTTTTTTTTATTTTATTAGGGTTTTTTTAAAGTTTAGTGACATTTGAACTTAGGTACATTTTGCTGATTTTCTCTATGATGATAGTGTAATAAGGGATGAAGTCTATCCACTTCTCCACACCAACTGCTCAACAGAATTGAATGAACTTCTACATGTCTTTTGTAGGGAATCTAAAGGTGTGCATTTCATAATTTTTAATGCAATTTCTTAATTTTGTCACTTTTACATATGTTTGAACTTAGTTGAATGTTGTTCTATTCAGCCAGTTTTCGTTCCATCCAACAGGGGGTGTACGTTATCCACTTCTCCTCAAAAAACTACTTTATGGAATTCATGTAGATTACACATGTGCTTTATAGGGACTCTAAAGGAGTGAATCTCATATTTTGATTTTGTATTTTATTTATTTTTCCAATTTTAATGCCGTTTGAATTTCTCTCTGAATATAGTGTTATAGGGGGTGAAGTCTATCCACTTCTCCACAAAAGATGCTCAACAGAATTGGCGTTCTATGTGTGTTTCATTGGGACTCTAAAGGTGTGTGTCTCATACCTTGTTCATCCAGTTTCTTAATTGTGTCACTTCTACAGACGTTTGAACTTGAATTGGTTCTATTCATCCAGTTCGTCCCATACAACAGGGGGTGTACTTTATACACTTCTCAAAAACCACTGCACAAAACTTCTTTAGCTTACATATGTCTTTTATAGAGACTCTAAAGGTGTGCATCTCATATTTTGTTTTCATATTTTATAATTAGGTGTATGTTTAGAGAATTTTAAACTTAGATAAATGTTCCTGAATTTCTCTCTGACGATAGTGAAATGGGGGATTAAGTCTATCCACTTCTCCACAAAAACTACTCAACAGAATTGATTAAGCTTATACATGTGTTTCATTGAGACTCGAAAGGTGTGCATGTAATAGTTGCATAGATGTTTATTGAACTTGTTCGTGAATTTTGTTCAATTATTGATCTTTAAGGCTTATGAATGTCAGCGGGGGCATCCGTGTTCCCGGACACATTTTTTCTTGTTATTACTGTTACCACCACACACAGTATACGAACGAGTTTTCAACTTAGCACACATCTCCTGTGGAACTAGCTCCGCACATATCTAGGTCACTGTGCGACTCCTCTAACTGTGCAATAATGTCATTAATTCTGGTGATACACTCCTCTGAAGATAAAAAGTCTCATGGTATATCGGCGGTAGAAAAATGGGTAGCATACACAGTAGCTGGTTCATTAACTGCTCTATTCATGTCAGTATTGATAGGATCACATGACATGGACCACTGTAATAAAGAGTGGTATAAAATTACTGACCAGTTCAGAGTCAATGTTTGCAACACCAGCTTCTTCCGACAACGTTGATACTTGCAACTTGAAATTTATTAAAGTTACAGAGAGATTCATATGGAATGACGCAGTAGTCCACAACAGATGCACCCCTCGTAGATACATATGTGATACATATGCATGTTGAGGTAAAGTCTTAAAGTTTCTCTTCAAGATAGTTTCGCCCAGTTTTTTGGTTTGTTTGGGGTGAGTTAGGTAACTGCCAATTGTCTCCCTTTCTATTCTCCTTTTTCATCAATGCCATAGTTAAGTTCTTGAGGGTGAGGATGGCCAATGGTCTAACAATGTTAGGTTGATATAACTATTTATATTGTTGCTTGCTGATGACATCACTATGTTTGATAGTACATAGTAGGTCCACAGCAACGATTAAACAAGGTGTCACTTTACTGTGATAAGTGACAGCTTCTGGTTTATGGAGATAAAAGTAAAATTTATAGCATTATCCAACGTTACATAAGCACCACGCACTACTGCTCACGGACAATGTAGCACTATTGACTGGAGTCGGGAAATATACATGCCTTCTGTTAATGAAAGGCACAGATTTTTGCACTGAAAATCAGGCACTGAGGACTGTGACTTAAATGCATTTTAATGTTGAATGTACGTCTGGCTATCACGCCAAAACAGCTATACTATAGAGCTTTATTGTACAATGAGCCGATGGCCCCATTACCGAATAACGTCATTCATTCACACAGCAGTTCGGGACGATCCCTTTTCCCAAGGACGGCATCATTTCAGACTGGCATGACATAAGCAGATGTAAAAAGTGGTTTTCATAAATTTAGACTCTGTACACTCACATCCTGTTATGTCAGAATGGACAGGACCAAACTGTCACAGATCCCTAAAGTACTGTCGGAAATAGGGAGGGTGATGTAGGATTTCAAATCCACATTCTGGAACGAAGGCCTGATGAAAAACTCCACGCCTGAGTTTGCCACGGCGCTTTTCCTTGATGGAATGTCTCACTTCCTTCAGAAGGGTACTATAATATTCCCCAGTCATCGTGGTTCCTCTTGGAAGGCAATCTATGTGGATTATGGATGACGGGTGTCGCAGACGGTGGTTGGGGTCGGGCTGGGGGATAGAGATATAAGCTGGGATACGATAATCCTTTAGGGGAATTAAACTTGGAAGCTAGCGGCATGTCATAACAATTTACAAATAATATCCAGTCCTGTCGATCCCCGACCGCGTCATACCAAAAGATGTTAAAATATGGCACTTGTTGGTCCCTGCCTGGCGTTCGGCATTAATGGGTACAACAAGGACTGGTCGGCTCGGAGCCAGTATAATGTGTCTGAGTGGGGTATTCATGCTTTACTGCGGCGTGGTATCTCAGTGGGCTAGCACTATAAAACCAGCTTAAGTCTGGGCTAGTACAAGCAGCCGCACATACACATACACATGTCGTCATATGAGCGAAATATTCTCAAGCACGACGTTAAACCAAATTTCACCTCACCTCAATAGGGGGTACATGTGATAAGATGTCACGTTATCGGAAAAAAAGCTACAGCGACCAGTGCATGTTATGTCAATGATATAAATCATTCTTCAATACCCTACAGTTATTTTTGTCATGCACTTGTCAGAAGTATTTTAGGCTCAACACATTCTGACAAAGAAAACGGTTAATGATACATTTGTGATGCAATTGTTCATACTGGATTTCGGATTACAATTATGTTTGATTTGTTTTTAATATTTATGGTCAGACCCCATTTTTCACTGCAGTTGCTAACACAATGTATACAAATGTAGACACATGTATCGCAACAGCTATTATTCTTTATCTCCATACAGCCATTCATAATCATATCAACATTGTGTTTGTATGATTATTTTTATCCATGGGGAAAACTATACAATTGGTTTTAGATATGATTGTGCTACGATCAAAGGCGAGAATCATGTGTATCCGTCATTGAGCAAATATTAAGTTTCAGTAAACTTCTTTTGCAGCTCGATAACTTGGGCAATCGAGTGATTATGTTTATGATTTACAAATATGGGCCTGCTCAGGTGCCAACTGCTCAGCTAATTATGGCACGGTTTTGGTATACGGAATGCTGGCATGGCTTTGACGGCTATTGCTTCAGATCTTGGTTCTGCTTCATCTACCAGCAGCCGATTGGCCAAAACATCAGGAAATGAATGACTTTAGTGTCGTCGGCGTTCCTGTCAACTACGAAGGACATACAGGCTGAGTTTAAAATCTGAATAATTTAAATCCTCACCCTTTATTGTCGGCTTTTAGCCCAGCTGCATGCATGATAATAGCATATTTGATCATTTGTCAGTACTAGCCCAGCCGGTTATGGTTTTATAGAATTGCAAGGAATTCACAAAGAATCTATTAAAATATTGCACGCATGATCTCCGTTTGGAATATTGACCAAAACGCCTCTATCCTTTCCATGTATGAATTATATAGTCAAACTGTGTTTTTACAGGTGCGTGTAATGTTACGCTCTATGCTCAGAGGGAACCGCTGAATTTCACATCTCCTAACTTCCCAGACTACTACAGAAAGTATGTACAGACGTCCCCGTCCATTTTATGAATGGTGAATGATCTGCTTACCAGAATGTGTGCTCATGTATACCTCAAAACAGCATATCAGTTGATGAATAGCTATTATAAAATATGTATGTCCGTGATAAGTAAGCACTGCAGATTAATGTAATCATGCATCGTGACCACGGAGGAAAGTATTTAGAAACATTTTTGTTCGTATTATGGATGATCTGCTCACTAGAATATATATTGATGAGTGCTTATTTCGTAAGATTGTTTACACTTGACATGTGAGCATTGCACAGTTAAATGTAATCATGCTGATATTTGACATAATGTCGAGTTTATATGGTTAGATTTACACATGACATGTTACTTTAGTTCCAAATGCTATCATTTTACAGAAATGACAACTGTTTTTGGGACATCTACCCGGAAACAAGAGGCTACAGGGTTGTGCTCGACATGGTGTATTCCAATATCGAAAGCTCTTCTACCTGTGCATATGACGTCCTTACCATATACGTCATAAATAATGGTAAAATAATTGTGTTACATTGAAAACCTCATTTATCTGTTATATATCACGTTTGTCAAATATTATGATATCATTATGCATCAAATATTATTATTATGGGGGTATTTTTGTACTTTGCAAGCATTATCCAGAAAAAACTAAACATTGACAGGTTTTGGATAATGATCACTGTGACATATCAAGAAAGGACAATAACTGAAAATTTGTGAAAGTTGAATTATTTACCAAACACTTATTACTGATACGGAAACGTGTTATGCATTTTTATGGTCGTAACAATTACAGTCTATAAACTTCACGACACAGCAAACACATTCTTGTAATTTTTCACCACAGCTAATCAAAGTAAAGCCGCATCGCATAGATTCTGTGGACTGCGCAGAATGTATATTCTCATCGAAGAAAACCAGCATTTCCATGCAGTGTTCAAGACTGATGGCACTCAAGCCAGAAATGGTTTTCTAATTAGATACTATGAAACAAATGGTGAGTAAAGTCATCAACCATCAATCAGAAACCTGGTTGTTTTTACACCTTGACAAAATACTTGAAGCAACATCTAATAGCAGATGTGGTCAGTTACATGAAATTGGGTCTAATGGTCAAAATCAGGATCAATAAAGACCGATTTTAATCAAACATATCTCAATCATGAAATACACAATGCCATTTTAGAAAGTGGTCAAATGTAACACAAGTTATGTTTGGGATTACACTTTCTTAGTAAAGTACAGATTCTAGTACTTTTTGGGTTGAGTCGGCCGTGGGACACGTGCCAATTAATACTTATCAGTGGGGTACACAAGGTCCGCAGTCTAGACTACCAGTTGTACGACTTCCATTTTTTGTGGAAGCCGCGGTAGCTGAGTGGGTTAAGCGTCTGACTTTGTGTGCTGGCGATTAGGTGCCTGCCTCTGACGGTCTGGGTTCGAATCCCGGATGGGACTCAACCCAAAAAGTACTAGAATATGTACTTTACTAAGAAAGTGTAATCCCAAATATAACTTAACTTATATCTAAACCACTTTAAAAAGACAAGATGATCATCCAGTGCAGATATCTCAAACATTATTCAGAACGACGTGATACTCTCAATGATGTAGTTGTGGCTGTATGTTTCTTTCGTGTACCGTAGATTCGATAGCGCTGGCGTTGCAAAAATCAATAAGCAGGCTTCTTACATAACATCGTTGAATCTTTCAAAATGAGTAGAAAATGAAAAGTTGCCCTAGCTGATCTTCATGAATATTACGAATGGTACAGATTGTTCCCTTGTCACAACCAGGCACCAGAGACTGCGGTGTACCTCTCGTAGCAACTTCTGTCGGCAAGACATTTACCTCGCCTGGATACCCAAACTCATACTTCCCGTGAGTAACCTAATCACTACATCGGCTAAAAGAAGCACTGGAGTTTCTCATGTTTGTTGCCCAGTGTTTAACGTTGCATAACTCAAGTGAGTGGGTGTGTTAGATTGATTATTAAGCTTTCAACAATATTTTACTTCATGACGAGTCATGCGCACACATCTGTACAGTCATGCGTTTGCAAGTGTGAATAATTCGAACCATTCGGCAACATTACATGAATCATTTATGTAGCATTTAACAACATTTAGGGGTCTGTTTGCAGGAGTCAGACTTGTACCTGGACTATTACAGCAGAACATCAAAACCAAACCATTCAACTGGACACCATGGACTCGGTACTGCAGAATATCTCATCTCATGGAACTTGTTACAATGATTATGTCACGGTATACAACGGTCAATACGGTGAGTAGAGACGTGTATGTGCTCGATACTCTACATAGAAAATCAAGGGAGTATTTTAGTTAGTTCTCCTTGCAACAATTGTGTTCTCCAAGGCTAAAGGTATTATAGCACACCAACAAGAAACAGAATCGATGTTAAACTTTACACTACCGCGGAAGACAACTGAAAGACAAAGAAAGGTGTATTTGGCATGTGGATATGAGCCTCAACAGAAAATATTCGCAACACAAGAGGGAATCACACGGTCAGTACCGAGTGTGTCCACCATGTGCACTAATGCTGGCCTGGCAATTTTACTCCACTCAGGCCACTATACGTCGATGACAGGTAACACATTAAGATTGTTCTTATTAAGATATTACTGTACAACTCCAGAAACGCGTGGTCCGTCCTTATCGTGTTGAAACATCACGCCAGGTATGTTCTGGTGCAATGTCGTGTCGGTGCTTCACAGCATTCAAGTTCCCCTCCATCACCGGTGTACTTGCGGCTTCGGCTATCCTACCCAGATCACAACGTCCCGACCTCTAAAAGACTTCCATTGTAGAACACAAGGCTTAATGTAATGTTCAGGGATCCCGTGGTAAGCTCGGTAAAGAAGTTAATGTGACTCATCATTGTACAGAAGCTTTCTACACTCGCTTCCCGGCCAAGTATTGTCAGTTTCAACTTTGACGTCGATGTCGATGTTCTGGCGTCAGCTAGCACGGATGCTGTAGAGGTGAATACACGCCTGTTGTCAGGTATGCTTCGGGCTGTAAGGGTTGCTGGACTGAACCTGTGTCGGAGGTGCGTGCTTCGATACTCTTCTTGGATTACCTCTTCATCTGTCATTTTCCCTCGAAGCGTGGCATGTCCATTTTGTTCCACAACAATGAATAAACATATTGTTTGCTTATTTCTGAAGACAACAGTGAGTGGATATTGTTAGCGTCTGGTTGTTTGGCCTTTTAAAGTTAAGAATGCTAGTAGATTTTATCGACTATATCATGCTTCGTGTAAGGTTCATGCAATGCGTGCAATAACTGCTACTTTGCGTTTCTTTGATCATTTTAACTCACACGTTCTCTGGTTCAAATCCAAAAAATCATTCATAAGATCACGTTTCATGTCACAATTTCTTTGGCCTCTAAGTGTACATGATTGGTCTAATAGAAGAATATCAAAAGCATGTTGTCGTCAACTTTGCAAAGGTCATGGTTGTTGGCCTTCGCCAGTCTCGGAGAATCAACATTTCTGACATTGTTAATAACATAATGTATTATTATAGGTTCCCACCAGCTCGGCACATTCTGTGGCAACGAAAGACCTGTTTTTAACAGCGGTGGGAACGCATTGAGTGTTCATCTACGAACTGATTCCTCAGAAACCTACAAAGGATTCAAAATGCTATACAAAGCTATACCGGGTTTGTATGCATTAAGCAATTATATACATGTATAACCAAACACTACAGATATCAGGAAAGATAACTGCAGTACCAATTGACACCACATCTAATTGTCCCGGAGATTTGAGATAATATCCGAATCATAGCATACAATGAAACTTCAGTGCGTCATGTTTGTGTGTACAAGGCCCAAAGAATACCAAAGAATATCTCCAAGAAAAAGGCCCTAAGTTTGTGTTGAGCAAAGTACCAAAGAAAATGTGAGAAGACCACAGTCACTTAGTCAATGTGATTTCAGACATCTTAGTTGCGTTAAATGATACAAACATGTCATGAACATGACTTTACGAAGACATGATGAGACATGATGGCAGCTCCAATGTGATTGTTCTCTAAATGTGAGTTCAAACTGCCATATGAGTTCATACTGACTTGTGAGTTCATACTGCCATGTTAATACTGCGCCAGCATTCAGTTTAGCGATAACAATGAAATCTAGATCTCTGTCATGACGTAAATGTAAATAGACTGTGCAGTCTTTTAAATTTCATGTTCATATGGGATGTTACCTCTGTATTGCATTGTTGCTTCGCGGGGTTAGTTAGATTTATTCATTATGAAGTTAAATTGATCAGGTTTCAGTGACAGTATGGACAAAATGCTAAATTCGGACAAATGTCTCTAAAACAAGCCAGTATTTCAAGAAACGTATGTTTTCTGTTGCCTCCCGTTTTAACTGATGCCAACACTGCTGACATTAATGCCCCAGCAGGTGAGCTGAAAAACGTTTTTGATTGCTTTTTTTAAGCATGGTAGATTATACTGATAAAACATTTGCCCAACCTTGACTTCTAGAGTATTTATTTGACACCCTTCTTGAGAGTTTAAACAGGGCTTTTGTCTATTGTCAAAAATGTCTGGGCCCATAACAAGTATACTCCACCAACCTGCAACAAACAAGCAAAAATGGTACAATTGCTACTGTTTTCCATTGTCAGCCACAACGTGCAACATCACGCTTCTCTCAGGTTACAGTCCGATGGTGATTGTCTCCCCTGGCTATCCAAACAACTACGTAAAGTAAGTACAAAAGTTATAATAATCAGTGGAAATGTATGCGAGATTCAAAAACAGTTTGATATAGTTCGCTGGATCAAAGGATGCATCCACATATAACCATACCTTGCTTTAATGATGTCACTACATTTAATTATGTTTTGTCACGTTTAACTATGGGTGAGACGTGTCTTTCTGTTTCCTAACATATTCCCCTCTAATTGCAGTGGCTTGGACTGTCAGTGGACTATAAATGCACCCATATTCAGCTCTATTACGTTGAAAGTTTTGTTTCTTGATTTGGAAAAAGTGTCATCGTGCGTGAATGATTATCTACTGTTCAAAGATGGTAGGTAAAACAAGGATGCATGTTGTGTTCCTTTTGGTATTGCGTGAAGCAGTTGCAGATAAAGGTCATTGACATGAGACATCCGAGTTGTAACAAGGAAATCAAAGAATATAATCGTGATGTTATATATACATATATATATATATATATACACTCTCCCAAAAAAAACCACCCGCATATATTATACTGAAACATGAAATTTCAAATATTGTTTTTCTTCAAAACTACCTATGGATTGCTAAAATGTATAAGCTGGTTTGTGTGCATGAAACGAAGGCACATCGCAAACCAATCTTCGGAGACTTTAATGCACGTTTACATTCGAAAGTGTCCACTTGCTTGAAAGTGTCATGGAGAAAAAGAGGTTTGCAACAGTTCTGAGAAATCGTGCGCAGGGATATTGCATATATAAGGCCGTTTTGGTCATTGACAGCTTTTTGCTGAATGAAAGAATATCGTTATGTCGAGAATCACTGCTGTAAATCGAAACATTGGCATTGGACGCATGGAGACTGGAAAGTCTCAACCTGTAGTTTTGGGGACCGATTTTCAACAAACCAAAATCGGCGATGAAGTGTTAGAACTCGGAATACAACAGCAGCGCAGGACAGGATAGGTACATGCGGGTACTTCATTTGCGGCATCCAACTGTCAAGCAAATGCAGAATGCAGCGTTTCGTTTACATTTACGTTTTAGGTACGACGAACGATGCCCGCCAATTGGCAAAGATTTGTGAACGTACGTCTCCTCAAATCGTCAGCTCCAGTAACCATATGACCATCATGTTTCACTCAGACCATGCTGTCACAGGAGGAGGCTTTCGTTTGCAGTACTCATCTGGTAATAATCTCAGCAACTGTATCTTTTAACTTTTAAGAAAGTCTGCTTTTTGTCTTCATTGGAAAAATATACATTCCTGATGACCAGAAAAATATACATTCCTGATGACCAGAAAAATATACATTCCTGGTGAGCAGAAAAATATACATTCCTGGTGAGCAGAATATCATAATTTCCTCACGACCACAGAGACCCATTGTGTGAGAAACTTTTGTCTGTTTTTACCCTGTTCCCACTACAGAGGATTTTTGAACTTAAAGACTTTGGATCATCAGGTTGAGCACCGGGGCAGATAACTCTTCTGAATATACTCCATTAACCATAAAGAGTGATGATATTCAACCCATCCAGTCCCTCTTGCTTATCACAAATCTTCGGTTGTATTTTTTATTAACTGTGAATTATTTTTATAATGTTTATTATTTCACACGGCTGGCTTTATGCTGTTACAGCTTCCCTCTGTGGATTATCAAAACTTTTCGCATCTTCTATCAAATGGAAGAACTTGACCTCTCCTGGCTATCCTTCTCACTATCACAAGTAGGTGCCTACTCTCTTGACAAGTGAATAAAAGTTAACCAATTAGTTAATAGTAGCAAAAAACAAGTGGTAAATAGCACTAATCTCGTGTGAACGATTTAGCACTCTAAACGTGACTTTGATGCTATTACTAAATACGAGACACTACGCACGTGACTTGTAAGTAACTTATGGTAACAGGATATATTCTGATGAACTGAAAAGTATTTAAATAGGTTTTGCCTCCATAAACACTGCCGTTGTGAGTCTCCCATGACTACGGTAAGGTTTTCATTACACTGAAAAGCCGTTAAGTAGACAAATACATTGTGTATGCAAAAATGTTTTGACAACGCAATTACCCGGATTGTTATATATTTAAAAAATATACACTTGAACAATTTGCTTGTTTATATATGCTTGTATAATACCAATTTATCTGTACAAATTCAATTTTCAGCAATATAAACTGCGAGTGGAACGTCATAGCACCCGTTGGATATGGCATTAAAGTTGAAATTATATATTTGTCTGTGGAATATGCGCCATTTTGTTCAAGGGACTATCTTCTCTTCAACGACAGTAAGACATTGCACAAACGTACACAAACTTCTCAGACAAATATAACTATAGTGGTCTTTGTACTGTATTGGTTTCCTGTTACTTCTGAGACAATACCTAAATTATTCACTTTGATCATAAATCCATAATAATTCATGTTGGCAGTATTTCGTCATGAGGAAGCGAATAACCAATCAAATTAAGCGGTTTTCGATGAAGTTGAATAATGATTTGTAAGAACTTTGTGCCATGTGTATTTTATCACAAGTACTTCAAATATGTTCTGTTAGCATCAGCTTTATTTGAATACTTGCATACATATGTAGATGTGTCAGATTCGATGCCACTTATTATATAAGTGAGTAAATATTTTTCCTCAAGGTTCATCGTTTGGGGGTCAACAGTTGGGTAAATACTGCGGTCTTTACAACAACAAACATCTTGTCAGCTCCAGCAACTACATGACCATCGCCTTTCACACCGATGGCGCTTTCACGCGACCAGGTTTTAATCTGAAATACAAAGCTGGAATGCTCCTTACAACAACAACAACAACAACAACAACAACCCCAGGTAGATTTTTTAAAAACTCTGATAAAATTATGTGTCTGTACAATTGTGGTGTTTTGGTGATTAACCATTCAGTTTTGAAGGTGAGGTGAAATGCGGGTTAACGTCGTATTTGAGAATATTACAACGACGTGCATGCGTGTGTATGTGTATGTGTGGCTGCTTGTACTAGCCCAGAGTTACGCTGGTTTTATAGTTCTAGCTCACTGAGATACAGTGCCGCAGCTAAGCATGAATACCCCACTCAGACACATTATACTGACTCTAAGCCGACCAGTCCTTGTACCCATATTTTAATGTCTTTTGGTATGACGCGGCCTGGGATCGAACCCGCGACCTTATACGCTCAGAGCGGACGCTCTAACCACTACACCACGGTGGGGGTCTCTATCAGTTGTGTGTAAGAAGACTGGAATGTGTGGGAAACCGGGGATTGGGCTGTGGCTGGGAGAGCTTCCAATAGTGGTTGAGGGTATTTAATGTTGCTTGACGATACAGACATAATATTTACTTGATCCCTTGTTCAGGCAACGCGGGAAAAATAACATGTTACACACTGTAATTTTGTTTGAGCAGATAGGACACACTCAGTTATGCAGTTACAATCAAAAATATATCTTGCATGATCTTTCCTAGCCATTTCTGTAAGCTACATAATCAATGCGTTTGTTGCCTATTCAACTACAACCTACAACTACTCAACCGTCTATAACTCTGAATGCACTTACCAAGTGTCAGCACTATTGTGACTGAAATATTCACCGCTTCCGACTTTTATTTATACAGACGGAATGTGTGGTTCAATGCTCAGCGCCAGCAAATATTCCTGGAGGTCTTTGTCATCCCCTGGGTACCCATACTACAACTACAACAAGTAAGTAGATATATGCATCATCTTTGTTGATAACCCGTTTTGACTACTGGCAAGTTAATGCAGTGACTCCTTCGATACAAAATGCTCTATCTAGACCCTGCATCTTCACACCCCACTTATTTCCGGAATTTTTTTGGCTTTTATTGTAAAATTCAGCCTATTCTCCTCTGTGGGTCAGAGTTGAGGGGTGTTTTTGTAAATAAACCAATAGAGAATGTTCACACCAAGTTTTGTAAATATACTAAGCAGCAAAAGAAACGTCAGTTTGGAATTTTCCTTCGCAGAAACGGATCACGGTAAACCATTTAATGTTTTGATTGTATGTTTTTGACATCTCCAACTTTACCTGAGCAAAGACATTCCTTCCCAAACTCAGAATGGAACACAGGAAATGGTCTCAAAAACGCAACCTGATCTCGGAGACGGTGCGGTGTTCTCCATGTTTTTCATGCAACTCATGCTACACGTGCTGTTCACAAGGACCAGCCCTATAAAATGGGCTGAAACATTCACATTACAACGTCAGCAGGATGCCGCGACTCAAGACAGCTCAGAGGAACCAGGCGCTAGGAAGACTTGAAGCCACACTGCACAAGCCGTTGCCAATCACTTCAAGCTCAACGTTCGGACCATTTATGGGTTGCAGCAACGTTTCCGGGCCACCAACATTGATGTGTCAAGATATTGTACAAAGAAACTGTTTTTGATCCGCTTATTATGTAAATTTCTCTAGTGATTTGATTACAGTGCCTATCTAATTTTGAATTCGTACTAACGTTTTTTTTGCTGCTGAGTATATGTTTTAAAAATATGTTAGAGCTCTTGTAATGTCGTAGTACTGGATGAAAGTGGGCCCATGCCACTTATTGTAAACATTATCTACGTGTCATAAAATTCTGGCTAAAAATTCCCAGATTGCCAGAAAATCGTTTGGTCAAACATTGTTACTATATGTTAAAAAAAGTTCGTACTGGCGAAAAAAGTTTGATTGTTAAGGTTATAAAAATTGGGCATCATGCGTTCGATTTATATTTATATTTTGTATGGCTTTAAATACTCTTGGCAAGCTCGGGATGTTGATGATGTGAAACAATTCATGAGCATATTTAAATTAAGAATGAAAGATGTATGGATGCAAGACTGGTCTGCTAGTGTGCATGGATTTTCAATGTTAATTTCTTACTGTACCTTCAAGATCACCATCCAAATGGAACCATATTTAAACCAAATCAAATCATCTACATTGCGTCGCTTTGTTACAAAATTCCGTTGTTCGAATTCCGCTTCCGAATTAAAAATTGCAGCATATAGACGGGCTGTTTCGAATACGATAACCGATGCAATGTGCCCGTTTTGTGGGGATTGCCTTGAAGACGAATACCAATACCTTATTGATATGCCCATTATACACACATCTAAGAGATAAGTATATACACTTTATTACCATAAGTATCCATCTAAACAAAAGTTTATTGAATTAGTGTCCAGCTATGATACTACCATTTTTTAAAAATCTAGCAATCTATGTAACTAAAATGTTTAATGTCCTTAATGCAAACTTTGCGCTTGTATAACAAACCATTATGTTTTAATCATTTAGGTAATTGTACTATAGGCCTCACAGGCCATCATCTACTAAACAAAGAGTCTGAGTCTGAGTCTGATTTTGCGTGTTGTTTTGTGAATTAATTGAAATGCCGCCCTTTATACAGTGTTATATTTCATATAATCTGTTCATCTCTTTCCTTATAGCAATATGTACTGCGAGTGGACAATCTCTGCACCTGTTGGATATAAAGTAAAGGTTGAAGTTCAGATTATTGCTATGCAATACGACCCATCCTGTTCTAAAGACTACGTGCTCTTCAGAGATGGTAAGTACAATGTTCCTTTGAACAAACTTACTTAAATATACGTTTAGTCACATCTTTCTTCGAATTGAATTAGTATGCAATTATCATGGGTCAATAATTAGTATTCTTAGCGTCAAGTTGGCTTCAGTGTTCCTATCATGCCTTTCATCATGCCTTTTGATCTCTTTTAACCGACAACACAACGATTCTTTGTATTTTTCAAGGTTTCCAGCCCTACGCCACTAAGTTGGGTAAATACTGTAGTGACTTCACCGGCTACATCGTCAGTTCCCGCAACGCCATGACCATCACATTCCGCACTGACAGTTCTGTCACAGACACAGGATTTTCTCTGAAATACATTGCGCGGACGAAAGGTGCTTAATCATATATCAATGTGTATGCGTTTCCTCTTTCATGAATTAACGCATTTAAACACATTTTTCCCAAACTTTGTTTTCAAATCAATTGAAGAGAAAACCCGGTGAAACATTATTTGGTTTTGGTTAATGTTTATGCAAACGGTGGACATGATATGTGGCCTTACGTAAATATGTCTGATCCAGGCTCGGATTATTTACAGACCGCCACTCTATAGCTGGAATATTGTTGAGTGCGGCACTAAATATAAAAACAAAGAAAACCCTTACGTAAATATGTGTAAAACTGATTGCCTCCCTCAAAGAAAAAAATATATTTTTGAGGTAAGCCTTCATGTTTCTTGAGTTATTTTTACACATTTTTATATTCTCGGAAATGAAATCAGCAAGGCAGTATGCCAAAGCCACTGAGAATATCTTATCACTTGTCGTGTGTTCCTTTCTACATAGCATCCCACGGTAATATCATACAGAGCCATGAATGTATCAACGTCCCTAAACATTAATGAAACTTGAATTCCACTAAGCCTTTTTTTTATAAATATATGTTTATTATGTGTAAAAACAAAACAATTGACCATTCCATTATATTCGTTTATCGACCCGTGAAGGTCCGGGTTAGAATTGATCTTCAATAACCCATGCTTGTCGTAAGAGGCGACTAATGGAATCGGGTGGTCAGGCTCGCTGACTTGGTTGACATATGCCATCGGTCCCCAATTGCGCAGATAGATACTCAAGATGTTGATCATTGGGAGGTCTGGTCCAGACTCGACTATTTACTGACCGCCGCCATATAGCTGGAATATTGCTGAGTGCGGAGAAAAACTAAACTCACTCACTATATTCGTTTATCTTTAAAACGGAGGACAAGAGTTGCATTTATCCGTACCCTGTTGTAGTATTTGTAGTATACGGAATTACTCTGTTGTGTATACAGTATACTAACCTTGTAATGAATACCTTTATATCGAAACAACGCATTAAACCAACTGGGGTTTTTTCCTGCCTCGTGTATAGTTTACTCGAAATACGACGATCAACACGAACTGAATGAGTGAGTGACTTAATATGTAACGTCACATCGGCAATATTTCAACCATATCGTGACGAGAACATATTTGACATTGAAATGGAATATATGTATATTATAAAAACCTGTCTACGAAGGACAGTAAAACAACTAGAATATCACAATTACAGCTACAACTAGTGTAGAAAGTTAAAACTGATAGCACTATTTGGACAATACAATATAAAAACAGGCTATAGATCGCCAACACCTGAAGGTAGATCACCATACTAGGGACCATGGGGACTTTCAGTTCCTTTGCTACCTGGATGAACCCTGGCTGGATTTACACCATCCCTCAGCAGCTGGCAATTATAGGAAAATTTAGCCAAAATTAAAATCACAAAAATACTACGTTCTAAGTAAGTTTAAATATAACTTTGAAAATGTTGGGACTTACGTACCCAAAACAAACTGAAACTAAACGTAGTGATCCCTTTGAGTTTGAAACAACCCTAGTATACTGTATAGGTATTGATTTTACATATTTAAATACAGATGGTGAACACTAAAAAGACAAAATCATGTATATATATATACGTACAAAAGTAGGTTACATATGAATGTTGTTACCTTGATGAAATGGCTAATAAAGTGACAGATGTAATGGAAAAGTGATGAAAGACATGGAATGTTAATTGTCTGAATGAACACATTCCACCACGTCAATAACAGTGAATGTGCTGATTATTTTTAAAAGGAAATAGTAACATCTGATATATGTATTCAATATGAAAGGTTACTATCCCATATCTTTTAGTCGTGCCTAAAAAGGTGGACTGTACCGTGGTGGTGTGGTGAGGTTGCCTTGTTGACCACTTCTGGTGTTCCTTGCTGCGATATTGCTGAAATCTTGCTAAAAGCGGCGTTGATGCATGTTCACTCACTCATCATCAAATAACTCCACACGAACCCAGTGTTTCATATTACAGTGTTTCATATTACAGTGTTTCATATCACTGTTTCATATAACAGAGATATTTCCTTGTTTCAGGGTGTGGCGAAGATGATAGGATAAACTATGAGATAAAATACATTGAATCACCAAATTATCCTCTGCCTTATCCCGAGTAAGTATACGGCCCAATTATAATTCGTTTCATACCTCGATGAACTGAAAGAAATACACAAACAATAATATTATTGACTTGGGCAACGAGCAATATATGATACCTATATTAGTTTCATCCAAAACAATCGTATAAATTAATGTAGCATCTTTGAGGGGAATTTAGAAGTCGCAGCAGTAAGGATACCAATGAACAACTTCTGTGTTAATACAGAAGTTGTCCATCCATATGTTGTTGTTCTTCCTTAAATTAACAGCTATTACGAGATTGATTAACAATCCAGGCGAAGGAGTACATACTGCGGTATGCCGTGTATCAAGGGATTGTTACATTTTAATTTAAACCACATTGCCACATTGCATCAGTAAACCACATTGCCAAAGCACGATGAGTCCATATGACCTGTTTCAAGCACATATAATTCCAATGCCTATCATGTTCAGTATAAGCACTAGTCGTTCAATTAGTTTCAAATCCTGAGCCACATTTCTTGTATTTTCATATGTACATGTTAAACACATGGCTAATGCTAATGTATGTTTCAATTTTAGCAATGCGGACTGTGAGTGGACAATCAGCACATCCATTGACGGATATGTAATCCATGCTAAAGTGGTGTATTTCAGCACTGAGTGTCCCTATGATTATGTACAGCTCTATGATGGTAATGGCTTATGGTTAATCATGGTTATCCTATAAATGAGTAAAATACACAGGCGCCTAAATTGACATTTGCTTAGTAGAAAACCTCCACGACCTGTGTGACTTTGCACTCCAATTTTAAGCTGACACGCTGTTTATCGGATATACTGTCCACGATGACGAAACACACAATAGACACACGTCTTTCTTAATAGCATCTTTTGGATTTATCAAGCATTGTGATCCGTACGAACTCATCTGGGGTTAACGAAACATTATTTACACTTTTTAGGATAATTATAGCTGATGATATTATAAGCGAGGCATAATAGATAGTAAAATAAACTTTGAACGACTAAACGTCATCCCCAAATAACAACAAATTAAACACTGTTTAAAGCAATGTACAGTACAACGTATTAAATGTGAATATTAGAAGAACATAACTCCAGATTGAAAGACAGGTGATCAGTTAGTATTTTGTCAAGTCACCATATGCAGCAATGCAGGCTTCAATGCCGCGGGGCATAGTATGATCATGATCAAAGAAGTTAGAAAGTCCTGGCCCATGCTGTCCCAATATCGGACCACCTCGTCTTTCATTTCAGCAATATTTGTCAGATTTTACTTATTAACACTTTCCTTCATAAGTCCCCAAACATTTTCTATTGGATTTAGGTCAGGGCTATAGGTTGGCCAATCTAATAATGTCATATTTTGGGCCCGAAAGCAGGCATCTGAATGCTTTGAACGATGTTTTGGGTCGTTGTCCTGCTGGAAATTCAAACAATTTCCATAGAACACGTGAGCAGATGGAAGTAAATGTCCCTCGACAATACCTGTTTAACGCTCACTGTTCATAGTCCCTTCAAATACACAGAGGGGCGTTGCCCCTAACACAGATATGCCGACCCACATGTTAAATTTCGGACTGTACTTTGGGCGCTGATACAAAGGTTTCTCAGTTTGTTTGGTCCTGAATTTCAGTGTATTAGAAAACAGCCACACAGAACTGAGAAAAGCGTATTGTCCCAGTTAACATTTCTATGCTGTAAGCACCAGTTCAACCTTCGCTCCTTTTATTCAGGTTTCATGATCGGTGATGGAATTCCTCGACTGTTCTGCCAACCCATTGCATGCAGCTCAGTTCTAATTATCTCCTTACGGACAGCCACAGTTCCTCTATCAATCATATCCAGCCATAAGTTTTCTAAACTCCTTCGTTTGTTTTGAGAAACAAGAATACCAAGCTGCCTCCTGTCACCGACAGTCAATTTTCTGGGCCTACCTGCGCCTCCCTGGTGCTCAATGCCATATCCATTTGCAATATTTTTTTTCAAAACACGATAAACAGTGGACAAGGGGATGCCTGTTCTACTTGAAATCACTTTAGCTGACCTGATGTCCTTGTTATAATACTCTAAAATCAGCTTCCTCTTCTCTTAATCATCCATACTGGGATCACTGAAAATGTCGTCTGCTAGCAAGTAAACAAATGGGGATAACTCTTCACAAACTAATGAAAAATGATTAACGGAGTTGTCTCTCTTGAATGAAACCAAGCACTTGATAGCTGGTCAAGGTTGTTTATACTAGAAATCCAATTAAACATATTCCTAAAATTCTCAATAATTTCTGGTCATACTATACTAGCCACATAAAGAAACTGTGCATTGTCAAAATATTATCCCAGTTGATAAGTACGATAACAATGTCAAAGGTACATATAAACGTTAATGGAGGGATCATGAGACCATAACAAGTCGGGAGAATTTAAATTGAAAAGTCAATCACAATGACGTCACGAGTCCACAATCGGGACAGGGGTCAAATGGCCATGTCACAAGCTCAATAACGGTTATGTCCATTGAGAACAGCAGTGCATCGACGTGAAAGGAAGGCTTGTAGGATGTCACGCCAGATTCTCTCAAGTTCTGTTGCAAGGTCAAGGACGTTATCTGGCGGATGAGGAAGACGGCGTAGACGTCGATCCATCTCGTCCCAAACATGCTCTATCGGGGAGAGATCCGGTGAATTTGCAGGCCAAGGCAGTAAGTCAACGTTGTGGTGTTGCAAGAAATCCATAGCAACCCTTGCCGTATGAGGGCGGGCATTGTACTGTTGGAAGGTTAACCCAGGGCCATGACGTTGCAGAAAAGGAATTGCCACAGGTCAAAGAAGCTGATCCCTGTAGCCCACACCAGTTACGTTGCCCTGAACAATCACTAAAGGAGTTGTTATTCCACCCCAAATCATCACGGAACCACCACCAAAGCGATTCCTCTCCAAGACACAGACCTGTGCATAACGTTCTCCCACGCGTCTATAGGCACGTTGACGTCCATCACTATGGGAAATGTTAAACCTTGACTCATCTGTAAAAAAAACAACAACATTATTCCATCAAAACAAGGGTATGCGGATATGATTTCGGCACCACATTCGGCGAGCCTGTCAATGACGTTGTGACAGGATAGGCCGTATGGCGTGACGTCGTGGTCTGATCCCGTGATGACGTAAACGTTGTCGAACTGTGTTAGGGTGGATACGGCGAAGTCCTGGGATGGTTCGGGCAGTCATCACTGAAGTCTGAAACATGTGGCGCAGATGGGTCACCCTTGTCCATCTGTCCTATCTTGGCGTTGTTACACGTGGACGTCCAGAACGTGGCCGATCGATGACGTCATTTGTTTTCTGGTAGCGTCTCACCTGTGCAGAAATGGTGTTCCGGTGGCAGTGGAAATGTGCAGCCACTTGTCGTTGAGACATTCCCCCACCGACCATCACAATGTGCAGACGTGAGCCTTGGCATCATGCTATGCGTTTCACTAGCCGTTTAATTTTTGAACAATCGCAAGGGCAGGGGTAGAGCTTTCCAAAGTGACAGTATTGTGTGACATTCATTTGCTCTGTTTCTCTTTCCCGGAATGCACGTGCAACAACGTATTGCACGTCTCAAGGACGAACTCACTGACGTCACGGAACGTGGCACGTGCATGCATGTTGGATACATGTCACTAATCTCTGAGTTTAAATCCTTATGTGTCTACACAGGTTTGATAAATTTAGATTTTAAATTTTTGTATGCACAGTTTCTTTATGTGCCTAGTATATATATTCAAACAAATGTTAATGGCATTAGCTGTTGATTTCTTTGAGTATCATAATTTTCTAACATGTGCTATTCTGTCAATAGTCACGAGTATTGAAAGCTTGATCGGTCGATGGTGTGGAAGAGATGGACCAAATACAGAGACAGTAGGGCAGAAAATGAAGGTTAAATTCCACTCCGATGGTTCGACGCCTCGAACGGGATTCAAGTTGTCGTTTACTTCCGGCGAACCAACAAATGGCTGTACGTTTTTCAGTTTTGCTTGTTCATTTCAGAATGCACTGCGTCCTTTAAGAGAATACGATCCATCAATTGTCATCTCTGTTCGTTTGCACTTTAATTAACACATGACACTTTTAATCTCACATGGCATCAAGCTGGCACGCTTTGACATGGCTTATACAGCCTCAAGGTATTTGGGTAGCCTTGTCGTTAAAGCGTTCGCTCGTCACGCCGAAGACTCGGGTTCAATTCTTCAGAATGTGTGAAACCACGCCCGGTTTCCCCACCTTGAAATTGCTGCGATATTGCTAAAAGTGGCGTACAAATCGTACTCACTCAAAGCAGCCCTAAATGAATCAGACACATTCTGTCCCATCTTGCCAGAATATTAAGTCACGGGTTTAGCGGGTATAAATATTGTCGTTTTATTGTAATTGTCCTTTGACCTATGTCAGTTTAGGGTGAAGTTGATCTAATGGTAATCGACACCTATAATACGCTGGTATTGCGATAGGTCAGCGTGATACAGTTATAAAAACATCACGGTTCCCATTTTGTGCACGAGAACCTACCCCTTGACGTTATTTAAGATCAATTGAAGTCTCCACAACAAAGGCAATATCAGACAAGTCAGGGTCTGACATTAGCTTTCCTTACCTTTATCATGGACCGCAGTAGAGTTATAATAGCACAATAATATTTGAGAGAATGCAAAGACCCTTAATTTTCCCTTGCTTTTTATATTGTTTCTTTTGCTTCATTATGTATTTAATCTATTTTTGTTATTTGTTTTGTTTTCTTATTCAGCTCAGAACATCGGAGCCATACTGGGTGGTGTATTTGGCGGTATCACGGCTGTAGGTATTGCAGCCTGCTGCTGCTGTGGGCTTTGTTTCAGGAAGAAATCCAGTCCCATCGACCAACAGCAGAGAAACAGATCATATGAAGGCACCGTCTCTTTCATCAACGTCCCCAGCTACCCGCGAACTCCGCCTACAGCTCCTACTGCTCCTACTGTTCTGCCGTTCATGTCCCCACCACCTCCTTCTTACAATGATGTCGTGAAGGATGATCCCCCACCGTATTGTCAGGCAGTTCCACTATCAGACATACAGCCTGTTGTGACGTCATCCCCTAGCGGTGCATCTGAATATCAAGGGATAGATAATCCAGCAGGATCCATTTGAGTGAAAGTTTCATATGATGTACATGTTTGTATCACTGGAGTATACTCAAGCAGTCTCGTCATCCATATACCTTTTTGTAAGGGCAATCTTTTCGTACCATGTTTTATGAAGATCATCTCATATTCAAACTATAGATCATTTCGTCATGAGAGCCAATGTTGAAAATGTTGATTGACTTGACTTATTAGCATACTAGCATATTAATGAGGTTATAAAAGTAACAATAAGTCTCCCACTTGCATGTAATCTGCATATGTACCTGTAGTAAGATGTTTTCTTGGTGCTGTGTATGTAGCGATTTAATTTTTAAAAGTTTGTTTTAGTCATTGAAATTATTTTTACGAATATGTACGATGTCGATCGGATGTCGTCATTTTGGAAGTGACATATCTTTCACCGACTGATCGCTTTTCAATAAAGATTGTCCCAAACAATGTACTAATGGTGAATGGATACCGCACAATCCACACAATTCCCCCGAGGAAAGACACCTTAGAATATGCCCATGAATCTCGTTTGGTATAGTTTCATATTTTGTTATTGTTTTTGTTGTGTTTTTTTGTAATAAAAATATTTTGTATTTCAAATGGTGCATGTTGTCCGTGTTTTGTTTATTATTATTATCGTGTAATTTTATTACACATGGACGATTGCGCGGCCATGTGCGTGTTTCGTCTGACACATGTAAATCGTAATCTTTAGTGATGTTTTTACTTTGATGGAATCCACGAGAACGGGTGATGAAGAATCAAATTCATGACGAATCTCTGTGTAAAGGACACCGGCACTATCATTGCAAGTTTGTATATGGAATATAGAAGTGCAAAAGAATACCCACATCAACTATATTCACAATTCATTCCGTATGGTGTGAGGAGAAGATACCTGTGAACATTTTACGAGTTATACACTGAAAAGCATTGTCGACACCAGGTGTTGACTGAAAGGGCAAGCATGTCTTCTCCTGCCGGTAGCACCAGCCATTCACAAAATGTGCCTGAAAATGGCTCCAACATGTCAGTTTCCTAGCAGATGTCACTGAATCTATCACGCTGCCATATGCGTAGAAGGTACCCGGTATTGTGCGATGTTGATCAGTAGTGTAGGAAGCAAGTCAGCAGAAGGCCTGATTCTCATTTCATTTCATATTGTGGATATTTGTTGACCACTGAACTATAGGCATATTAGCCTTTAGATAACTCTCACTGTACATTTGTAGAACATGTCTTTTGATAACATGGTCGTACAACTAACTCCCAAATTTCGTCCTCTGCGCCGAAAACCTGGGTTCGATTCCAAACATAAGTGCAACGTGTGAAGCCCAATTATGGTGCCCGCCACGGTTTTGCTGGAATATTGCTAAAGGTGTCGTAAAACCAAACTCACTTACTCACTCGTTCTCTTGATTATAAGACACGTGGCCTGATTTACTCACAAAGGCGTGAGCATGTTGACAAAGTCACAAGGAAACGTATGAAGTGGTTTTCACTGCCATACTTATGGGTCACTTACCCGGCCCGACAGGCACTTATCCATGAGCCCCTGAAGATCCGGGGTGGAATTGATCTACAGTAACTCATGCTTGTCGTAAGGGGATTGGGTGGTCAAACACGCTGACTTGGTTGGCACATGTGACCGCATCCCAGTTGTGTAGATCAATGCTCATGATGTCAGTCACTGTATTGTCTGGGTCAGACTCGATTATTTACTGACCGCTGTCATATAACTGGGATACTGCTGAATCCGGTGTTAAACAACAAACAAATAAAACCTAAATACATCATCGAAAATATGATTGATAGAGCTGTCATATCACTATAACTATACGCTGTAGCTGGCATTGAGGTGGAGAATATATCTCTTTTCCGTCTTCTCGCTTCTCCTCCTTGGCAATTAGTGAGACCACAGGTTGACCTAACACTGACAACTTTTAATATAAAACAGAAACTAACGAATTACAATATAAACAAGAATATAATCAATTAAAAAGTAAATATAATACATACAAATCCTTATTTATGGGTCCATGTCATTGGTCCATTACCAGATACTAACTCTATTTTACTGCAGAAGCAATTAATGCAATACTAACAGCTGGTGCAACCAAAAATCAAACATAATTAAAACACAGTTATCACTTATTCATGACATATAATATACATTGCTGGTTATGAAATTACCCGACTGTCATTGATCCCTGATTGGTGTTAACAAATATCTCGATTACCATTAGCAGATAGGCAGACACACAGGTGTCAACAACACAATGAGTTTTGTCTGTGACAACGACATATCCATATCACAGTTAGAAATTCTGTCAATTGTCTCGGTAAAAAGAACGTGTGGTGAAATTATATAAACAGTTAATTTACTGTCATAGCATATAAAGCTCGCGCCTGTGAGATATCAACAAACCAAAAATAGCTCACACCAAAGCCTTCACCGAGTATTCACCCGACAACCCGCTTCCAAGTTGCGCGAACCTATTTACTTGCGCACGTGCTATGAGCGCAGCCCAGCTGTTGAAACCCGTTTTCCCCAGAAAAGTCTGGGGGAAAATTAGTGAAACGTTTGAACTCCGATTTCGCGCGGTTTTTTTCATCGCCTTATTTTTCAACTTTATAAGTTAAATTTGCATTTTTGGCGATTTGTTTCGGTAAGTCCATACCGAAAGGTATCAGAATCTGCAAAGTTGTGTTTTACGTTGCATGTGACCTTTAAATATATTAGTAAATACCCTGAATACAAACAGTATATCATTTTCTCAGACTCTCTTTCGTGTCTTCAGGCTATTAAAAATCTTTCTTGCAAACAGCCGCATTTAATAGAAATTATTGAACGATTTATTGATCTTGCTAGTGGCCAGTACGACATCGTCCTCTGTTGGTTACCAAACCACGTTGGAAATTCTGGTGACACAATGTTTGATTTTACTGCTAAGGCAGCAGTCAAATAATCTGTGACAACACTTCTTACTCTGGTTGCAAAGCTCGGATTAGATTACTAAAGTGTCCAGGTGGGCCAAACAAGAGGTATTTACTTTAATGAAGAAATGAGGGCAATATACCTTCTGTGCCAATGATCCTATCCAAACAAAGAATGTGCAGTCAAATGACTGCCCTGACACTATATCACCGACTCACAGTTCTACCCAAATGTTATGTCTACAATCACAACAACTTGAAAGGTGTTGAAGTGAGCTAGTGACTATGGTTTTACGCCGCTTTTAGCAATATTCCAGCAATATCATGGCGGGGGAACCAGAAATGTGCTTCACACATTGTACCCATGTGGGGAAAGGCGTCGAAGCGTGATCTTGACGTACACTCCGGAGGCGTTACATCTGACAGTGCTTATATGCTGTGAATAGTTTTCCTTTCTAAATACTTACAACACATCCAACATTCCGTATATTTCCTCACAGTCGTTCCATGTTAGATATGTTTAATCAGCTATTGGCTGTATCTGACTGGTGATCAAACCGTTGGTCGGGAATAAAAATACCTTCATCACAACAAATGTCGTAAAAACGCATATTCAAAGCTCTATCTATGACTATGGGTTTTGAAATATCACGTCTCACCCAGACAAGTAAGAGATTGATATAGTGAGCATCGATGTTTACAAGTGGGTTACTGTGACACCAATCAAGCACTTTACCATGCACTGGCAATATAGCAGATGACAAAATCTGGCACCACAATTTACAGTAGAACAGATAGCATCCTTCTAAAAGCAAACCCTGGACAAAATCGGATTGCTTGATATCTTTGACAGAGGCATGCCAGACGACGACCAGTGTGTCTCCTCTATTGGAATATTGCTGAGTGTGGCGTCAAACTAAACTCACTCACTCACCTCTACGGGGAAAAGGGGCAACTAACGGGATGGGATAGTCAGGGTTGCTGACTTGGTTGACACATGTCATCGTATTCCAGTTGCGTAGATCCATGCTCATGCTGTTGATCACTGGGTTGTCTGGTTCAGAGTCGATTATTTACAAACCGTTTCCATACAGCTAGAATATTGCTGAGTGCGGCATAAAACTAAACTCACTCATTCCCACACTTTGGGAAAAGATGTATGCCGTCATAATTATCAGGGAACACATGCAATTACATTCGATGTTTCCGAACAACCATAACCAACAAAAGAGAGAAATCAACATGTTCGTTCGTTCGTTTGGCAATTCTGTATCAATGGCGAAAGGTACCAAGTAGTTAGAGAATGGGCTCGAACAGGACCTGTGTTCACTACTCCATCAATACAAGTTTCGGTGTTCGAGGTTGCGATACTGTCGCAATATCGACAAATCCGGTGTAATCCAGTACCCGCTCACTCACACAACTACGGTATCAAGCGGTTGTGTTTACGCATAATGAAAACCTGAATCTCTCTTAAACATTGCGCAATTTCATGGAATATTTGCATTGACGTGTTACGTCACAATGACAGTGATTTTCCTTTGCCTTGCCCTTCCTCCTTTGGTTCCAGTTAATCCCGTTAGTATAAAGCCTGTTATCAGTTGTACTGTTTGGTAAGGAAATCCAGTAAAGCACAACCCCTTAAGAAGCAAGTATCTATTACAACATATAAATATGAACACTGGCTGAATCATGTTTACATAGAGTGTGGTGACGCACTTAACATATTATTTCGTTATTTTATATGATTGCATGCATTGTGGGGTGTCGTTGGTGACTACCACCTGGAGGTCGATGTAGGTCACATCCGTATGTGTGTGTTGCAATCTATGTTCTTTACATTTATCAGCGTTCCCTGTCTGGGTGTACACAAAGGAATCTTTTAAACAGGTGTTTCACTTACATTGTGAGGTGATCTACTAATGCCAGTCTTGCATGAGAGCTCTCGACGGCGACAGGATACCATTATGAACATACCTTTTTTCGTTGGGATATATGTGTTGTTGTATGGACCGCTGATCTCAGGTGAGCGTGACATATTCATTCTGACATATATTTTATATGTCAACTGACATCTTGTCAAATACGTATAAACAGGTCGTACATCGATTTTGTTCTTTAGGTCAAACTACATTGCTGTGTCAATCGTATTGCTACAGGTGCAATGATTGTTAAGCAAACAACCGATACAACAGAACAATAGGATCTACATTTTTTAGCATACCAAACTGCACGTACAATCATTACAGACGGCACAACTTTTAAAAGGTAGACAGGCAAAGCATAGGTATTTTGAATTTGAGGCTGTTCCGGGAAATGTATACTATATGGCAATGTTCTTTGTTCAATAGCGCATTTGTAAACGGGAAATTGGAGAAAGAGTGAGTGTCGCTTATCTAAACAAGATGGCGGACACGATATTGCGTAATGTTAACGTATTATGCTGGTGTCGGTGAATATAACCGCTGATGGGGGAATACATAACTGTTACTGCTGTTGACAGCTGGACCGTAAAGATGTTAATAACATAAATAATGTAGAGGCCATCACGGAGAATGACAATTACAAAAAAACATAAGGAAAAGGCCCGTATACGGCCCCAGACCTACCCCAGCCAACAAACCTGACCATGACCTTGTCCTTTTACATAAAACTAGAGAACATTTATATAATTGAATTTTCTCTCCAATTTGATAGAACTGTGATCAGGAAAAACATGGTCAATAATCGGACCTCATTTGCATAATGTCTCGTTTGCATTACTGAACCAGGCAGTGCCGATTATCCATCACTCTTGCTGGCTTAGTTTCGGAACCTCCCAATCTTGTGACCGACCCGGAGGGTGTATCCAGGTTTGCAGTCGAGAAGGCTGACGTGTTTGGGAGTCTACACATTCTCCGTAACGTGTTTTTAAGGTTCGGCTGGGCAATGCTTACTAAGAAGTCCATTTGCTGCCAGGGCTAGGCCCTGAGATGACGATCGCGATCTGAGCCAAATGAACTTGCTCAGCCTGATCACAAGAACCACCAATAAACAAGAAGTTACCATCCATTTACTTGTCTTACACCTGAATTTTATGTCATCCATTTATTCTAATCTGTAAATCACAAGTATTCTATTCCCATTGTTGAATAAGGTAAGGTGAGGTGACAACGGGTTTAACGTCGTGCTTAAGAATATTTCGCTCATATGAAGACGTGCATGCGTGTGTATATGTGGACAGTACTGGGGATTGCGACATGTGTCGTGACCGTAGAGACAAAGGTAACAGCTGACGCGACAATGAAAAACATAGATTCTGACCAAAATTATACCATGACCAGTGATGACGCGACAGTAAATGAGATCACAACCACTCCTGACAAGACAGTAAAGGAGACCACGACTGCAGCTGACTAGACAGTAAAGAAAACATTCATTACATCTGATGTAACAGTAACTAAGACAACTGCCACTGCTGACATAACAGATGGGGAGACATCAACTGCAGCTGACGCAACAGCAAAGGAGACCACGACACAGCTGATACGACAGTAAAGGAGACCATGACCACAGCTGATACAACGGTAAAGGAGATCACTACCACAGTTGGTACGACGGTAAAGGAGACCACGACACAGCTGATACGACAGTAAAGGAGATCACTACAACAGCTGATACGACTACTACAGAACGTATTATATTCCCGGAAACCATCGATCCTCCAAGGTGCTATGAATATTAACACTACTTCAGCCGTCTCACTTGTTGAACATACTAATATCATTTACACGTTTCAATACAGATACAAGAGCAGAATGGATATCCTCCCTTTCATCAGTATCGTTGAGTGAGTGATTGAGTGGGTTAAGATACAGTGTAAAAATGGGCTATAGATCGCCTACAACTGAAGGTAGATCACCACACTAGCTAGGGACCAGTATCGTTTAAAGCGTGTTTGCTTTCAAGGCGTAATGTGTATGTACAATGTCACCGTGCCGGGGAAATGGAATAGCCTCGTGGCTGCACATAATATTTCAGGCCCGGAGGAGCTGAAAGTATTCACATCCAACCCGGCATTTCAGCCGAACGTTGTATGCATAGGAATCAGAAGATATATATAAAACTAACATAATTATAAATACAACCAGTTACTCACACTGGAACGGACCCGCGAAGATCGTAAAACAAGACTCACTCACTCACCCACCTGTGTGTAATTAAGTATCCTTAACAATTTGTCATGCTCATGTTGAAATGTATGTTATTCTTGAAAAATGAAACAATTCAGGAGTGGCATAAATAGCTCACACTATCGGAAGTGCTTGAGGCATGTCTTTAGTTAAATTTCATAGCGTTATAGTTCTTGTTGTCGAAATTAACATATCCGAAACTTGGGAAAAGACTGTCATCCCTTTCAAAACATATTTCTAGCACATGAATCCAGAATGTCATAACTGTGGAAAGTAGCATTCTCATCCTAACACACACCCTTAACGCTGAAAGTCTAGTATTAGCGACAAATCTATGAGGTTTGTGATTAACAAACATAAGCGTGCTCGTGCGTTTGACAATTACTATTGCATCGACTAAGATATCTAACACAGATAGGATGCATCTTCTTTTGCAATGAATAACACTGTCATTGACAAGAACGAAGTCATGTACAAAAGGACGAGGAAAGTTTCTCAGAAACAAAAGTTGTTCTGAAGTTACAGTTTCTAAATTCTAAAGAGAATTCAAATTATAAAAATAAAAAAATAAAATATTGGGTGTAACATGTATCCCTGGCAGGCACCCGATGCAATACTAACAATTCCGTCCGTCTATAGTGAGTGAGTGAGTTATTATTTAACGTCACATCGGCAATATTACAGCCATATAGTGACGAGAAATGTTTTATATAAACAATAAATTAAAGTTGCTAAATAATCAGTCATCGAAGGACTGTAAAATAACTAGAGTATCACAGATGGATTCTAAAACAAGCATGAGCATGTAAAACTATTTTATTTATGAAGACAATACAATATAAAAACGGGCTATAGATCGCCAACAACTGGAGGTAGATCACCATACTAGGAACCATGGGGACTTACCTTACTTTTGCTACCTGCATGGACCCTAGTTGGATTAACACCATCCCTTCAGCCATTGGCGACAGAAGAGAAATCTAGCCATAAATTAAAAACACACTTTTTCTACGATTAAAAAGCAGGTACACTTAGATTGACTAAATGTTTTGGGACTTACGTACCCTCTCAGGAGGACAATAATTTTACAATACTTCAACCCCCTTTGAGAGTACAGCCACTAACAATCTCAGTTGCTAATCTAAACTACCAATAATAAAATATATATCTATTTACAAATCACTCAACAAATCTAATTTTGTAAAAAAAAGCAATAATTAAATGAGAACTGACATTAGTAAAAAGATCCTTCAGAGTTTTGGATTTGAAATAAATATCCCTTGTGATGGAATATTCAATGCAGTCAAGCAAGACATCCGTCTGTCTATACATGACAAGACAAGCTTTTACTTTGCCACACAACCCGTGAAAGTCCGGGTTAGTATGTGTCTTCAGTAATCCATGCTTGTCGTAAGAGGCGGCTAACGGGATCGGGTGGTCAGACTCGCTGACTTGGTTGACACATGTCATCGGTTCGCAATTGCGCCAATTGATGCTCATGCTGTCGACCACTGGATTGCCTGGTTCAGACTCGATTATTTACAGACCGCCGCCATGTAGCTGGAATATTGCTGAGTGCTGCGTAAAACTAAACTAACTCTCTCCTTCACTCTCTTTGGCACAGACATTATTGTCTAAAATAATATTTTTTGCCAAATCCAATCAAATGCATCTCGAAAATCAATAAATACAAATTACGAACGGTGTTTTGATTTTTCTCAAATATTTCTGACAAAGAGATTGTAAAATAAAAACAAATATTATCTGCTGTTGGACATAAACCATCAGCCCCTGAAGATCCGGGTTAGAACTGGTCTTCAGGAACCCATGCATGTTGTGGGAGGCGACTTAGGGGATTGAGTGGTCAGGCTCGCTGACTCGGTTGAAATCGTATGGCATCGCATCCAAATTGTGTATATCGATGCTCATGAAGGCAATCCCTGGAGTAACTAATCCACATTAGAATATTTACGGATCGCTAGGATGCTGCTGAATCCGGAATAAATAAGCAAACAAACAAAACCTAACCTCTTCATGGGAAATATGATTGATAGAGCTGTCAGATGACCCTTTTAACTTCGTGATATAGGCCGCAAGTTGGCCTCCTTGTCAAGTGGAGTCCATTGAAAATGTTCAATGACCATGAAGAAGATAGCAAATCCTAATGACATATCCAAGCATTTCCAACCAAAACATGCAACTGCGAAATGTAAACGAAAGTGAGCAGCAAGTTTGTAGAGGAAAATATCGTCACAGGTTCATCGTCAGCTCTGTCTCGGCTATTGGCTGGAACAAGAGTATTATCTCACAATATACAGTTCTTCATCTCCCTGTTTCCAATTTGACGATGTTGTGGATGAATCATCAGACATTCAAGGGCAGTATTTATAGAAAAGACACTAAAGTGCACAGCCGCACCAAAGAAGAGGCACTTCATTCAAAGAAGAGAGGAGGTAAATATACATTATGTGCCAAAGAACCTATCCAACCAAAGCCTATGCATGACAATATTAAAATTACTTTGCCTACCATCACCAGTATTGTCCAGTTGTCTGTCTGTCAATTCTTATACCATGCCAAACAATGGCATGATAAATTATGAACACTTGTAATTATATCCAATATTTCATGGAACACCAAGTGTATTCGTTATCTGTATATCATATCAGTAAATTCTAATAATATGTTCCCCACATGGTTACAGTATGTGAAGCCTATTTCTGTTATTAATGTTGAAATACTGCTAAACCCCTATTCACTCACTCTAATAATTATATTTTGCGGTCAGTGACGATGGGAGTAATGTTCTAAGGGAAGTAACTCCCGCTAACAAATAGGAACATAATATACTTT